GAGTTGTCTCTCCTGCTTGTTACATCTTAGCTCTTCTCTCCTTCTCTATAGTTTTCTAATAGGCGCGGCTGATTGCGCGTTGTCTCTAGTAGGCAGGAAAACAAAACGTGAGCCACATGCATGGCGCTTACTGAGGACTCAAGTAGTCCGTATCGAAATATCTCTCATAACCTCATGAGCGGAGCGACGGTAGACGACAAGATCCAAGCGACGCCCGCGCGCAGGATCAAGTGCTGCAAGTCCAGGAGCTCCACGCTCCCCAGCGCCAGACGGTCGGCGAGGAACAACCGCAGCACGAGGGACCTGTACGCGCTCCGCGTTTGCCTGTCCGTCTGTCCGAGGACGAAGCCGTCCATGGAGGAGATGCGGAAATCCCGTATATCGACCTTTTGTACGCCGGCGCCGCCGTCCTTACCGGCTCCTGGAGACTTTGTGGCCGAGGTCAGCGGCCGCTCGATGCGGTCGGGCCTCTGCCGTAAGGTGCGTATGGCTCTGAAGTAGATGAAGTCTAGGACGTTTGTCGTTTTTAGAGGCGGCGCGGGCTTTTTGAGGACGAGCTTTGGTAGGACCTCTGGCTGCGAGATCCAGAGCGTGCCGTTGTCTTGGAACTCGCAGCAGATGGCCTCGAGGTCGTGGGCGTAGCGGACGAAGCGGGTGTAGAAGACGGGGGTGAGGACTTTGAGGTCGAGGTGCTCTGCGCGTTTCGGGTTCTTTTGGGCGGCGGGCGAGAGCATCGTCTCGGTGAGGCCTCCTCCTCCTCCTCCTCCTCCTGCTCTTCCAGTGGGAGAGATTCCCGCGGGGATATACGTGACGGCGATGGCGGCCGCCGACTGCGCGACTAGGTGACGGAGGTAGGCCCTGAAAACGGGCTCGAGCCGGCTCTCCGTCGCGTCAGCTTTCCGTCCGATGCTCTCTTTCAGGGGCTCCGGGCGGAACCAGACGTGCAGCCCCTTGCGGAGGGAGAGGATGGCGGCTTCTTTGACGATGCGGGGGAAGGTGATGAAGCCTACCCACCACCAGCGGGCGAGGAAGACGAGTTTTTGGAGGGAGGTCATGGTGGCTGGGTCGATGGCCGGGGCGGAGTTGAAGAGGCGGGCGACGATTTTGGGGTGGTGTTTTGAGGAGGAGAGGGTGATTGTGCTGTCGAGGGTGTATTCGTAGTCGGTCCCTGCCGCACCGCCGGCGCCGTCCGCTGGTGGTGGTGGTGGTGGTGGGAAGAAGTCTGTTGCGGAGAGGGCGTAGGATCCCTTGCGGGAGTTGAAAGGGGAGACGTGGAAGTCCTTTGGCCAGGTTTTTGTCATCCTGATCTGCTGCTTCTGCGTCTTTTTGGCGGCGGCGGGAGATTCTGCATCTGCTTCTTGTGAGGCTGACTCTGCTGCGATGCCGTCTTGTGTTCCGCGGTCGACGTCGAGACGCTGTTCCGACGGAACGGCATCCGTGGTGAGAAAGTACATCCTCCTCTCGTCAAAGGTGTTGTTCACCTCGAGCACCATGGCCGTCAGCTCCCTGTCTCTGGAGTAGAGGTACCAAAAGGACACGGGGTTGAAGTGGTACCCCAGAAACCTTGCGGCGGTGACGAGGTATGCGTTGGGATACTGTGCTGGATCCGCGCCCTGTGTGATCTAATGTGAGCCTTCTTTTCCAAATTTCATGTACCACGTTTTTGCCCAAGTGAGATTATGGGTGAAATTGGCTATGGGAAGGAACCTCTTACCTGAGAAGTGAGATACGCATCAAGCTTCCCCCTCAACCCGAGATGCCCGTTCCCGCGCTCGAGATAATCCGCCGGATCCACGTGAAACCATCCTCTCCCCGCCGGCCGCGGCGCCAGCGAGAACCACGATAACCAGCCTGCCTTGTCGACGTCGCACGAGACCATGCCACCGTACTTCCCCCTCCACCCGACGGGGATGCCGACGACGAGGTACGAGTACACAAAGGCGTGTTTCTCGGGGAACGTCCGCCTGTGAGTTGTAGTACAGGGGATCAAGAGTGGTTTCACCGGCGTCGTCTTCCACTTTCTCGTTTCCGTTTCTGACGCAGTTGAAGCGTTGAGGCCTAGAAGGAAGCGGCATATCTGGAGGAAGATGAAACCTAGGAGGAAGCCTGGGAGGAGGAGGATCTGGCTGCGTATGAGGTGCGAGTCTATGTAGGGTGAGATGAGGTCTGCGAGGAGGCGCTTGTTGCGGTAGGCTGTGAAGAGGAGGAGGAGGGCTGTGTCGAGGTAGGTTCCGAGGAGGGAGTAGTAGGTGAAGCCTGCTAGGAGGGTTAAGGGCTGGAGGCCCGGGACGGCGGTCATGATGTAAGGTATGCTTTGTGTTTTCCAGGCCGGGCCGTTGAGATGTTGGGGGGGTTCCCGGGACCGAGGCCGGTTGTTCACCACGGGGTAGAGATCGGCGTGCGGCGTTGGAAGGATGCCGGGGTGGGCTGATGTGATGAGATGCCCGGCACTCTTTATGATGATAACGAGATGTTGAGTATTACACTCATTATGAGAAAGTTCTGGTTGTCAAAAAGCCTGAGTGGTATTGTCTCAAGGGAAGATAGTCTCTCTCTCTTTCAGAATCAAGGATCACGAAAGCTTGGCTATGGTGGTTGCCAGATTGGGTCTTTCGGTGGAGGACGGGGCGGGTTGTGGGCCGATGAGCATGTTCGATGAGATCAAGACTCTTTGTTGAACCCACCTCAATGTGAGGACCTCGTTCCATGAGGGAGCAAGCTTAGTCAGCACAGTCAAACCAGCTGGGGCGAGGTGAAACTGTTGTGGCCGACGCTTTATCGGCCAGTCGGCTCTCAAGAATACATACAGATCATACCTAATCATGGCGACTGTTGATCCATAGGATAGGAAACATTGTCTGGATTGCAACTCGCTTGGTTCTCTGAGCAAAGAAAGTAGGTTGCCAAATTCAGAACACAATAAAGGCAGCTGCTGCCATATGGCCCAGGGTCGGATTGCAAGCAAGCGGCGAGGGAGCCTGGGTGGAATCAATTACTTACTTCCCTTAACTGCGATGAGTAACAATAGAATGAATAGTACTTCGCACCTAAGGTTTTATTCCTTGGAGGCCGCTCTTCCGGATTTCAACGGGCTGACTTGAATGATGGAAGAGAAGGAAAAAGAGACCTTGAGGGCCTCGAATCTGATGTGTGGCGTAGTCAGGCAAAAATAGAGACCGGCCGGGGGCAGCCACCAGGAAAAGACGCGGTAAGGCTCCCATACCTGTACGCAGAGCGCTCCCGTCAGCTGGGGAACAGCTCTCAGCGACTGGAGGGGGAGGCTCTTCAGGTCCCGTCGGTCACCCCGCCATGTGCAGCCCAGTCTGACAGTCGGATCTGCCCTGGTGCTCTACTCTTGCTGCGGCGCGGCGTTAGGCACATGCAGGGATACCCGCCCCTCTTACCTCCGCCGGTTGACTCAGTTCGCTCAGTTCCCTCGACTCCCCTCCCCTCCTTCTGTGCTCCCCCCCCCTCCCACCGGTTTTTTGCCATCTATGCCAGTCCATCGACTTCCATACCTGTCATTTGCCGACCAGCCCACGCACCAGCCACAAAGACATTCAGGACCCTCTGTCTCTTTGAACAGCCGCCTCCCAAAAACTGACGCAACGAAACCCTCTTTTATCTACCTTTCCTTCCCCCTCCACCGACAAACCAACATCAACAATCCTCACGAGACCACAATCACCAACCCCGACGAACAACAAAAAAGGGACACGCAAACTCCCTTCCAACAGCAATAAACACCCATCTTCAAAACTCTTCACACATCAACCGACCGCCCACAATGGATGACTGGGACACCGCCACCAAGATCGGCTCCAAGGCCCGCGGCGGAGGCGCGCAGAGAGAGACCGTCATCAAGGGAAAGAGCGCCCTCAACGCCGCTCAGCGCAGCGGCTCCGTCATCGGAACGGAGAAGAAGTACGCTGCTGGCAATGCTGTACGTTTTTGACAATCCTTCTCCTGCGCGATAGGTGCCTCGTGAATCTCACGCTTGACATCATGAGCCCTTGCCCAACCTCACCCCTCCATTCTCCACAATTCTCCATCGATGAGGCGAGATGGAGAGGGCGGAGGAAACACACAACGTACTAACTCTCCCCCCCTCAACAGGCCACCAAGCCCGGCGTCGAAGGCCAGCGCCTAACCAAGGTCGACCGCTCCGACGACATCATCAAGCCCAACACGGTCGGCAAGGAGGTTGGCGACGCAATCTCCCAGACGCGCCAAAAGATGGAGCCCAAGATGACCCAAAAGGACCTCGCCACAAAGTGCAACACCACCCAGTCCATCGTCGCCGACTTTGAGCGCGGCAGCGCGGCGCCCGACCAGAAGATTCTGTCCGCCATGGAGCGCGTCCTCAACGTCAAGCTGCGCGGCGCCAACATTGGCGAGCCGCGCTTCGCCAAGAAGAAATGAGCAATTCTTCCGTCTCTAATTTCTTTTTTTTTTTTTTTTTGATTGATACCACTCACTCAATCGGTGGAATCGTCAAGGGGGAAAGCATAACGCGAGAGAGAGCGCTCGTGGCTTAAACCTTGCTTGCGCTGGGGAGTCTGGATCTTTGGAAGGGCGGAAAATGGACGTATTGAACAACAAAACAGAACAAAATGATCCCGGCTTGGTTTGCATAGCATGAAACAAGACTGAAGACTCAGAAATGTCTCGAGAGGCTGGCTCTTTATGAAGGTTACGGTTTCTAGACGTTTTACAGCACAATAGATGAGTTGGCGACTCCAGAGCTGACGATTACACTGAATCCATTATCTGCATCTACTGCAGTCTCTATATGTGTGACTGGTTACACCTCATCGTGTCAAGTCTATATGCTTGTCTCCCTCAAGTGAACTCAAGCGCCCGCAACTCTTTTTTTGAGTCCCATCCCTTATGTCTGTGGTATCTTCCAAACTCCGTATGCAGAAAACACGCTATGCCATGCATCAATCCAATCCCTTGAACACACTTTCCACGGACAACATCTCCCCAGATGTATCCATCTATGCTAAAAGTCGGTCAACTCGCGCGGCGAGCTCCGCCTCGTACGGCTTGCGTCTCGTCTGGATGACGACATGCTCCTTACCACCGACCGTGGCAACCCTCAACCATTCTGGTGCGACCTCCTTGGCAATCAAACGTACCGCATCGACACCTTCCTCCACAGGCATGGGGACGCGCAGAGAGTCCTTGAGCTTCTGCTGCAGAACAGTCATGGTGAAGGACACAACCATTTGTCCGGCCGCATTCGACGACGACACAAGCATGGAAAGGACGGCGGAGATGTCACCAACGCGCTGCAGCGCCCGCTTCCTCGCGATTTCGGGCCCAGTGGGGAGCTGGATGTTGGCGTTGGCTTCCTCCTTGGCTCGGAGTCTGTCGAGGAGGCTCATCTTGGTGCCATTGGGGTTGAGCGCCGGGAACTTGGCTGCTTGGATTTGCGTCTCCCTCTCTTGCTTCTTGAGGATGTCGTTCTTGATTCCAGTCAAGGCGCGTTGGCCCTTGGCGAACATGGGGTTTTCCGACATGGTCGTGTGACGAACAGTAATATCGGACTTGGGCAGGTCGTTGAAACTGAGGTTCTCGAAGCAGATGTCGAGATCTGACATCTCATCCATGGCGCGCTGGGAGCACATGATGTGGAGGTTCTTCTCGAATTGTTGGCAGAGCTCATTCTCGTCAATGCGGCCAGTGTTCTTGGTGAGATCCATCTCGAGGCAGAGCTTGCCGCGACCGTAGTCAGTGACGATGAAGGGAGAGCCAAGTGACCCATCCTCCTGGCCTTGAGTCTTTGTGTCTTGGATGGCAATACATCTCCGAATGTCATCCACTGTGACTCTCCTCTTTCCCCATGTGCGAGCTACGTGAGGTGTGATGGAGCTGATATCAAGCGGTGCGTTGTTGTTCTGGTGCACGAGCTGAAGCGAAACAGTCTTGAGGATTGCGCGTTGCAGGTCCAGGAGCTCTAGTAACTCGGTAGGCAGCTGCTTCTTGACAGCCTCCTCCTTGACCTCTGACTTTGTGGCATTGTGCTTCTTTGTTCGCTTGATCTTTTGGTTGGCCTTGCGCACTTCGGTCTTTGCTTGGGAGATGACGTCCGACTCGCGAGTCTTTCGGCGGCTGTCGGCGACTGGTGATGCCGTACTCCTTCGTGTAGAAGCAGCGGTGGTTGCGGTTGTGGGGGCGGCCTCGAGCTTGATGGGGACAGGCTCGTCCTTGCTATTCTTCAAGACTCGCTGACGCTTCAGAGACTCGCATCCCGGGGCGTCGCTTCTCGCATCTCTCGGTGAGACGTCCTCGTCGATTGATCTTGCCTTGCGCTTCTTTGAGGGCGTCGCTGCAGGCTGAGGCGGGAGGGCTCTTTCCAGGCTGGACTCGAGCTTGATCTCTGTCTTGACTTCCGTCTTGGCGATGGGAAGAGAGGAGGGCAGGCCGATGAAGAAGACCTTCTTTGAGGCGTCGTCTACAGGGGCAGGTTGTGTCTTGGAGACTCGGCCGTACTTGCTGATGAGGTTGGTCACTGTCGTGGCAGCAGCAGGCTTGACTTGCCGACGGGAAGCTGCGCGAGCCATTGCGTCGAGATGTGCAAGTGCTGGTCGTCTAGGTGATGGGGGAGAAAAACGTAGGCGGGCGAGAGCGATGCAGATGGCAATCGGAAGTTGTGAAATAAAGAGGTGAAGTTGAGAGGATTGGCAGGCGCAATTAAAAAGTCTCGATTCGTGTAGAGGGTACAAGTTGGAAGTATTGAGAAGTCACGAAGAGTATGAAGGGGTTTTGTACATTGGAAGGAGAGTGGGGAGCGGAAATGATGGAGCAACGATGGCAGCAACGCGCCGGGCTAAGGGGGTCGCGGACCACCGACCGCGACAGACGCGTTTTTCGAAAGGAGCACACGATGCAGGCGGGAAGTCGCGTTAAGTGGTGGGGCGCGCTGGCGCTGGTGTTGATGGCCCGTGCTTTCGCAGCAGGCGAAACCTCGGCAACTTCTTCCACCTTCCATTTTCCATGGGACCCAACGGCCCAAGCAACGGAAACTCTTCCCGTCGAGGTCCCTCCAAGAAAAGGGACGAAAAAAAGTTGAACAAGGGGAAAAGGGAGTCAGTCTGGACGAACATTCTGCCTGGCTTCCAGACTCGCAATCCAAATTTGGGGGAAAGCATTGTAACCACTGTTTTGGGATTCCTTGCTTGTCCCTGCTTGCCTCATATCTGTCGACAACCCGGGGGATTAGACTGTTCGAGCTGTTCCAATGCAAACATGGGACGGCCCTTTTCCCCCCCTGTCAACCGGCGAACCATTCACAGAACATGTCACAATCCCCGGGTCTTTCAAAACGCAGCAGCTACAGACGAAGGCAGTCGCCAAAAGAAAATGTGTTATCAATGTTAATTCATAGCTAGAAAGGCCAATTGCCTAGTTGCACACCGAAAACGAGTGCGCATTCCGAACAATGTGTGAGGTGGGACGCCAGTCGTTATCTCCAACCATCAACGTTTTTTGGGTGGCTACTTGCTGCCAATAATCCGTATGCAGACCGAAAAGAAGAAGAACCCATGATATGTGCCAGCCCTGCTTTTTGTGTAAACCTCATTCGCGAGCCGTTCGAAAAAAATAGTTTGCTCCGCGCCCATTTCGCCCCGTACTCCCATGATTTGTCCGTATGCTGATTGTACAAGTAAAGAGGAGCCCCCTGTGTCGAACAGTGAGCAGAAAGAATTCGTTCGTAGCTCTGGACACGAATGTCTCATCGGCGGATCGATGACTGCCAGTGATCCGTAGCGAATGATACCGGGCTTGGTGGAGGAGGCGCCGGCACGCTGTAGTCGTTCTCCTGAATCATGTGTACAGGCGTCACCGGGCGGTGGGTGGTTGAGGCGAGAGTCGCGTTTAAACTTGTGTAGAGGTCCTGGCCTGTCATCAAACGCAGATTTCTCCGTTGGGGAGAAATAGGAAGAGGCGAGGCGATCTGGATCTGGCTGGCAGGCATTTTGATTGTGTGTACCGGGGAAATGAACAGGTGAAGTCCTATCAGGCAGGTGTTAGACAAAGAGTCTGGATGTTACTGCGTTGTTGACGGGCTCCACGTACCGATGGTGATGGATCTATATCCGTATGGAAGAATCTGGGGAAGAAACGGGGATTATAAAGACAGCTGTGGATATGGTTGCTTGTTGAGAGGCGTTGTCGAGGCTGGAACTGGTGCCGAGACACAGTACAGTGGAGTGATATTCCTTGAGATGGAGGGAAGGCGTATGTCAAGTAGGTAGGGAGTGGACGAGATGGAGGCTAGCAGGTGTAAGGAAAGTGCAGATGCCAGAATATTTAAAGTCGAGAGCCACAAACGAGAATCGGCTGACAGACACGCACATACAGAGAGAAAAAAGGCAGAGAGCAGAGAGAGAACGAGAGAGAGAGGGTGCGACCGGGCGTTTGTGCGCGATCCGTAACAGAGATTTCACAATTCCTTTCCTTGTGTCGTAAGTAGACCGACCACCCCCGGGCTGGTCAAGTCGGTGCGCAAACAAGACCAGGGTGGGTGGAATGCCTGGGAGCAAAAAGGACCCAACCGAACGGTCGAAAGGGTGGGCTATGGGCAGAGCAAATCGACAAGAGGCGCGGGTAAGGTTGCAGTTGCCGGCAGAGTTCAACGGAAGCGTGGGGAAGAAAGTCAGGGGTTCCAGTGATGAAGGGGAGATGAACAAGACGAAGAAGGGGGGGTGTGGTGAGAGTGAGAGGAGTGAGAAGTGGAAAGAGGAGGATGAGGGTTCAGAAAAATGGCGAGTAAAGTTGAGATGGACCAGAGATTGCTCTTTGACAGCTCACGGGCTCCAAAGACTGGCGGAAACAGAAGGCAGACTGACAGAGTAAGGTACCTTACCCGGTGTTGGACGGACGTGGAATTGAGACAGGATGATAAAGGCAGAGGTGTATGAGAGGTACGGCTAGGTACACAACGAAGATCGCGGAGAGCTGGCATGCGAGGCTTGCGATTTGCAATGTCGCAATCTAATGAGGCAAAGTATAAGACGATGAAGCACCTGGGCTTGGGCTGGGGCTGGCTTGTCGTGCTTGTGTCATGACGAATGGGCAGTATCATGTCTCAGTGGACTGGCTGTAGTTTATTTATGATTACCATGGGCATTCATTTGTGGGAGCTCGCGCAGACTCTTCACGTACCCGCGCCTTGTAAAGATGCTCGTAAGGTAATTGATACTTTGCATCCCTATTGAAACAGCAAGGTACGCATACGCATACGCATTCTTACATTGCGCTGCCTCTGGAAATCAGGCTCGTCGGCCAAAAAAGCAACATGTGGTGCAGTCCAATCTTCTGTCGTGCTGCCGTCTGTTTGTTGTGCTGGCTAGCCCCAAACCGGCTCCCATCATCCATGGAGGTCTCCAAAAGACAATCCCCGGCTTTCACGGGGGAGTGCTGAAAGCCAGTAAGTCTGGAAGGGGAGGAATGTTCCATGTGGATGTTCCTCTACCAGGATCAGGGCTGGTTGCCCCTTCGAGAGAGCTCGACGATGGGGCCTGATGGGCTGACCCTGACCGTTCGGGTGTTCGGTGTAAGAGGAGGTGAATACCATTAAAATGGGGGCAACTATCCGTACAGATAAGGTACCTGGTGACACGAGGTGGACAATAGAAATCTAAGGGGTTGAGCATGTATTCTGCCGAGGTAGAGTAGTCTTTCGCCGTCCTCCTCCCTGCCTATCCTTCGTCTCCGCTCTCTAGGCAAAGAGCACGCCGCAACGGTGGATACAGGAACTGCGAATAGGTACCGCGTGGGTGATAATGGGGCCGATGCAATCCCTCAGATAGAGAGGCGATCAGTTCGGGGGAAACAGAGAAAGAATGCCGCCGGAAGTCAGGGCACGCTGGGATTGAACACAACAGGGCTAATCCCTTTCTTGCTATGTAATAGCTCCCACGGGCTTTACCGCCATTCGTTTCTGGGTCATCCCAGCTGTCGCATGCCGTCGGCGAGTTTTCTTTCTCTCCATCCACTGGTAAGATTTCATCGTCTTCTCTGGCCCCGGATTTTCTTGCTTATGCGGCAAGCGGGTACGCGGTACGAGAATAATCCTACACTGTACAGCAGCCTAAGACCTTGCGCTATGGGGGGACTTGCGGGCCAAACGGATCAAATGGATGAAAACAAGGCGCGAGGAGGGGGCTCCATCCAGTCTCCAATTCTGTTCAAGGTCGTCCCATCCGCCGGAAGTCGGAAGTTGTACCTTCTTTTCCCCCAACGTATTGGACGGAAATCGTACGGCAAGTTCAACCTTGCAATCAATGAGGACGATTTGCTAACAGTAAGTACTGTATTAATGTGGAGTGAGGTATCTTAGTGCCCTGGAGGCTCCTCTTGCCTTTCGCACGATCTGGGCGGCCACGGAGCTGTAGTTTGCATCTTGCGTTGCTGAATTCCAGTCAAATTGGTAAGGCGGCATCCGTCTAACCCATTTTCACTTGCGATCGTCAAAATATGGGACCGAGGGATAGACCTTATCTCGGTGACAAGCCTTGGGAAGTCGCCTTCAAACCGGATTTGGAACTGATAGAACAAAATGGACTAGTTCCAAAAGCCTCTATTTGATTGCAGAGGGGATTGGGACCAGAGACAAAATCCTCCAATTGTCACAGAGTCGGCCGGTATTCCTAGAGGCAAGGTAATGCTTGCCGACGGGGAGACGGGGATAGCAAGGCCATGTGTCTTTTTTGGTCCTTGGGGGAACACCCAAGTATGTACAACACAATCTGCTCTCTATCTGACATTCGGTTCACGCGCCGGATCGCCATGCCTCCTTACGCGGGCTTTTCTCGTCCGTTCTTTTTGAGGTGAGGTTGTTCTACGGGGATGGGATCGAAAGGCACAGAGCATTTTCTCACTTTTATTGAATTTTCTCCTCAAAGGAATCTGGAACTTCCTCCTTGCCTGAAGTTGACCTACCACAGTAAGTAGTGGAGGTAATCAGACTCCACTAATCAGGTACGTAAGGGGAATGTGGGGTCTCTCTTTGCATTTTGCGGAGAAGCCCGCCAAAGTAAGGAACCCCCAACTTCCTGCATTCCCCAAACTCTGGGGATGGAGCCACAGGCAAGGAACTTCCAGGTTCCCCCTACGGCAGTACACAGCACATAGCATACAACACATAGCACACGGCAGCTTCACACCACCTCGTTCTCCCCAAACACATATCGGCCACGAGGTAGACGGTCGACTAGGCCTGGAAACGACATGCTACAACCTACACACCTTGACACTTCACCTTCCCGTCCTGCGACGGCACCCTTGGGTGACCCCCAACCCGACACTCGTTTTGGACTCTTGGTCTTGCGAGACAGGCGCCTGGAGGCCAACGTAGCTACTCCAAGTACCAAGTACGATTACATCGTGGCATGCAGACACCGAGACTAGAGAAGGCCTGTTGACAATCAGGATATGGTAGGGTGTGGCGTCCTAGCACTTACACGTCTCCTGCAGCCTCATCAACAATGCCGCGGATTGTCGGCAAGCTCACGTCGTGCAATCAACCAGCCCGCTCGTATCAAGCTTCTCAAGTTCCCGCAAACGACGTAAATATCCTCCTTCGCCTCGACTTACGGCTTGCGTCCTAACTCCTGACTCACGGCCCCCAAAGGTTCTGGTCCAACCTCACCTCTTTCTGCCGCGTTGCCTCCAGGCTCCAGCTGTCAACAGAATTTCTTACGCCTTCCCGGCGTTTCTATTGTGCCCCAAGGCATGCACACCCATCGTCGTTCCCCTGATCTGGACGGGAAAATTCAAGGCCATTAGCGTCATGGCGCCGCTTACCCTTGAACACAGGCCGCCATCCATCAATACCTCATTTCACTTCCCATGCCAGTTGTCATGGCTGACCTATCGTCCTTCCGCCACCATCCTCGGGGAACACAAGCCGACGCAACAAGGGTGTTGACCACGACCGTCTCTACTCGTCCAGCGTGTTTGTGTTACCGGGTGTCTACGCGCTTCGATGCGAATGGTCTGTTTTAGCCTGTCGGCCTCGGCCCAAGCTTCCGCTACTATACGCTCGGATGGGGGATTGACGTCCAGAGTACGAAATGCTCACCACGCTCCTGTTGCATCTTGCCGTCTCCAATGCAGCTTGTCTGACCACTAGGAACTCCTTGTTGTCATACCGAGTTGCGGTGTGCAGCTACGCTTCGGTCTCAAGTAGCTGACTGGCGCACAGTGCCTGCTGTGGTCGCGGCTCAGTGCCCATCCGACGCTGCCAGGCTACCTTACCCTCGGACACGAGACCTGCTTCCAAAAGCGGCGTACACAGATACATCACCGTATGATTGGCGCCTCCGTAACTTCTGGTTTGTGTTTGCTCGTCATCAAATATCAATAGGTACTTCAGCTGTCCGCTACGGTTAGCTAACGCCCGTACTTTAGACTCCCGTTCCCCGCGTTTCCACCAAGCATACGGCGCCGCGCCCCGAATCCTCATTCGACCCCACCTTGCAGCAATGTCTCACCCGGAACGTATAATTTCAGCTCTTCATCTTACCGCCAATATTGCGTCAAAAAGCCTTCGCCGAGGCCAGACCACCTCTAGCATGTAAGAAGTCCGTGAGCAAAGTTTTGCCTCACTTGTTGTTGTTGTTGTCAGAGCTAGTTATCTGTTGCGTGTTCGTGTTCATATCACATTGACGCGAAGCTATAGCCAAGTGGCGGTCTCATTGTAAGGTCTTAGGAGCTATCTAGGGCGGCATTCCGCCTTTGCAGAATTGCATGTCGCAAACAAGATATCTCCTCGGCATGTCTCGCCGCTCTGCGGCGTTACGAGACAAAAGTATTGCCATACTGCTCCGAGTTGGACATTTCTTCAGGACTTCGATTGCTGCCGATGGAATCTCGATTGTAAGCCAGTGGATTGCAGTGAGCTCGCGCTGCTTTCAGACCTAGACGCGCAAGCTGGACACTATGTGAGGTTGTAGTAAGAGGTTGGTTTGTTGAGAGCCATACTTGCATTTGTTGTGGACTGAAAACACCACTCCGCCGCTCGTGGTATTCCTTGCCCAGAAGCAATCTTTACCCAGCTCCTCAAAACGGCGACCCGGCCGTGTGAGCATGGTGAGAGAAGCTCAAATGTTGTCGCCAACAAAAACAAACCGTGCTACCTGTAGACGGACGCAGTTCATGGGGCTTGAACGCCGTCAAAGTAACACACCATATTTGCTCGCGGTTGAAGCACGATCTACCGAAAAGACTTTGGACTGTTTTTCTGAAAAGTGACGGGGAGCTCCAAGTGATATTCCGATTCGCTGTTTTATTACAGTATGCCCGCGCAAGGTTTCGGGGAAAGGGGGAAGAATGAGACGCAACTCCCGGCTGCGGTCAGAGTTGGGATGGAAGTGAGATGGGCTGGCAGCAGCGGCTGCTACCCCGGAGTTACTGGGATGCTCCCGGCCGGGCCATTCCTACCTAGACGGGAGGCTAGCACGCAGATCGCGTTGCTTTGAATCTGCGCGCCCTCCCTCTCTGTGAGGTGGTATAACCCTTGGATTATCGATAGATATTGCTGAGACTCGATTACCGCAAAGTCCGAAAATTGGCATCTTGAAGTACACGCCGTCCGTTTAGCTCGGGGCGCCGTGTGGGGCCGCTCCGTCTGTAAGCCATTCTCTTAGCGGCCGGGCAGGAATGTCCTCTTAGGCTAGACATCAAGAAGTGATGATTTTTGTCCGATATCCACACAAGTTTGAGTTGAGAAGGAAGTCGGGGCTGCAAATACAATTCATCTGTGTCTTTGGGCTTTCCTCTTCCACTGTTCTAAACTTGCGTCGACGCATGTGTGTCTTTCGTGATGTACAATACGTCACTCACAATTCTGTGAAGAGTACCGACACTCTTTGGTAACCTTCAATATTTACGTACTTTAATTGTACAGCTGCTAAATAGAATGAAATCTGCATTGAGGATCTGAAGTGGAAGAACGCATGATGTAAATAACCCGGTCTAGTTTTTGCATCTCTTCTTGACATCTTTTCTTCGACCGAGGGGTGCAGATTATATATTGCCGTTTATAATGTGAAGAGGTTTCGGTGACTGACAGGGCGCCTTTGAATGAACGAATGCAGGTCGGTCCATAAAGAGAAACTCCTGGCAAAGCTTCGAAATGTTGAATTTATTGCAGCCGCCAGTCTTGATCCACTATCCTATCAAATCCCACTCTCCAACACATGTATACATGTATACCTCGAAATTCTTTTAAATCTTAAAGTCGATTCCAATGACTGAGTAGATCATTTTCCAAGAACCCCTCTATCCAGACATAATGCCAGATGTGGTAAAATGAGGTACCACCAACTATCAAGCCCGTCAGACCTAAGAATGAGGTACATACAAGATCCATCTGTAAGCCAATTGAGTCTCGCCGATGACCGTATGTCAACGTATGCACATCTTCTGGGAATGCAGTATATGCATACTGATCCGGACACCAACGCCGTTTTCCGGTCGGTTCTCCGCCTCGTATCACGACCGCGACACACATTGCTTTTCTGAAGCCATTTTTCCATGGTTACAAGTTTTCTCGAGCATGGGTGCAAGCAAACTTTCCAACGGCCTGGCCCAGTCATAAGCGAAGCATCCCATGCCCCGCCCCTCCAGTGTGGAGAGAGAGAGATAAATGCCAAGCGGTTTAATGCTAACGAACGAGTTGGTTCTCCTTTGCCAAGCGCTTTTAAATCTTATGGTCTTCACAGAAACATGTCTTTTCCGTCTTCTTCATACTTTACAATCAATAACAAGTGTGTACGTCATAAGCAGCAAAAAAGAGACTTCGTCGTATGATCATCCCATTCACCCCTTCAGAATGGATCCAGATATAGCTAGAAGCCCTTCGTCCTCACATTTTTTCTGTAACCAGTGGGATCGGCATCCAACCCGGACCGTTCTGGCTACCGTGTTCGTAATCTTTGTGCTGGCCCAAGTCTACGAGACAGCGAGACGATACCGGCGCCTGCGACACTTCAAAGGCCCACCTCTGGCAGCTGTGTCTAAGTTATGGCTACTCAAGACCGTGACGGGATCTCAGGGTCACCTCGAATTCTTCAACGTGACCAAGAAATACGGTGATTAGCTTGTCTCTTCTTTTCTTTTTGTCAAGAGGGACTTGGGTGCCGGCTCGTGTAAAACCGGAGGGTTGGCCTTTCCGGCGGATATATGGTCTCTCGAGAGTGGTTTACAGAGTTGGTGCGGAACACTTGAGGCTAACAGGAAAACTAACTTGCAAAAGGATCCCTCGCGCGAATCGGCCCCAATGACCTCCTCAACGACGACCCTGCACTCATGAGGCTTATGCTCGGCGTGCGGAGCGAGTACCGGCGCTCAGATTGGTACGACGGCATGCGCTTCAACCCGTCCAGGGACAACGTTCTCTCGTGCAGAGATGAGGATGAACATGCCAAGCTACGGTCAAAGATGGTCGCGGGTGTAAGTGATTTTAGTCCAGGGAGGGAAAGAATCCCCCTAATCAAATCAGCAATTGTATCGTGAAAGAGAAAGTCTGACGAAGAGGACTCTCCTTAGTACTCTGGCCGTGAGGTCCAGGCCTTTGAGCAAAAGATTGACGAGAACCTCGTCCGGCTGATCGAGCTCATCGAAGGCTACGTTGACGAGAGGAAACCATTAGATTTCGGGAGAAAGGCGCAGTTCTTCACGCTGGACGTCATTTCGGATCTCGCTTTCGGCGAGCCGTTTGGGTTCGTGGGGTCTGATTCGGATATGTATGAGTATATCAAGACGACGGAGGAGAATCTGCCTGTGTTTATGGGCATGACTGTGGTACCTTGGGTCATCAGGTTGTTTCGGTATCCTCTTCTTAGATCGATGTTGCCTACGGAGAAGGATCGGCTGGGTTTTGGTAAGGTGATGGGGTGAGAAAACTTTTCGCTTTTCTTCTCCTTGTTTTTGCTATCGTAGCAAGTACTTTGAACGCATGATCCCCCGCTGACATTATTTTTTTATTTCGACCTAGAATAGCAAAGAGATTCTCCGCCGAACGGTTTGGTCTTGATGCGAAGGTCCAGAGGGATATGCTTGGTTCTTTTGTCGCCCACGGCCTCACGCAAGAGGAAGCTGAGTCCGAGATCCTGCTTCAGATGTAAGTTCTGCACCGGCCCTTCCTCTTCCCATTCAGGATATTTGCAAAAAAAAAAAAAAAAAAAAAAAAGAGACTTACGCATCTCTTGAAATAGCATTGCCGGCTCCGACACAACAGCAACAGCAATCCGCGCCACACTCCTCTACATTATTACAAACCCCCGCGTCCACAACAAACTCCTGGCAGAGATCCTCTCTATGGACGACACCGCCCCTCGCCGCCCCATCATCTCCGACGCCGAGGCCCGCAACTTACCCTACCTCCAAGCCGTCATCAAAGAAGGGCTGCGCATATTCCCACCCGTGGCGGGCCTGATGGCCAAGCAGGCGCCGCCAGAGGGCGACGCATGGAACGGCGCCTTCATTCCGGGAGGGACACGCGTCGGGTGGTCTTCGTGGGCCATGTTTCGCCGGCGAGACATCTTTGGCGAGGATGCGGGCGAGTTTAGGCCGGAGAGGTGGCTTGTTGGGGAGGGTGAAGGAGAAGACGAGGAAAAGGAAGAAGATGGTACGACGCCAGCAGAGAAGAAGCTGCGCGAGATGGAGGCTACGATTGAGCTGGTCTTCAGTTATGGGCGGTATCAGTGTCTCGGAAGGCCGGTTGCGTTGATGGAGTTGAATAAAGTGTTTGTTGAGGTATGTTTGCTACGGCAAATTTTCTTCTCTGCTCCTCTTCTTTTGCGTCATCTCAACACGTCGGAAGGGGACGGCCGACCTAAATTTGCAAGCTTAACACTGACAGGGGTGTTTTATCAGCTGCTTCGACGATTTGAACTCACCATCTGCGATCCGTTGAATCCGTGGAAGACTCTCAACTGCGGTATCCACGCACAGTCTGAGTATTGGATCAGGGCCCAGCGAAGAAGGTAGTTCATGGAATTCTACCGTGCGTTTTGAATTAGGAATTTGGATGCTTTAGATAAGAAACATTTGAAAGTTTTTGGATTGCCCTGTGAACTGATCCAGGATTCCCGAGTCATTCTTGGAGAACATCCTATTTGCCTGCTTGTTGAGAACCGGCAGTGTTAGATGCTACGGGTTGCTCTGGCATACGACGGCTGGGTTCTTGGCAAGCCATGTACAAGTTTGCGCTTCTATATATTTGCTGAATATTTGCTACATTGTGTGAGCTATGAGATATTATAGAAAGGTAGTGGATAATTACAAAAGCAGGTAAGTATGTATGTCTTATCTTGCACTGCCATTAGGTCTCGCGATGCACCTCACCCATGGCACCTTACCTCTCTCTACCCTCAAAATGCCACCTGATCTTTACCGCAAAGACTATTCCATACCGTTGAGCCGGATATCACACCAGGGTCTTCAAATTCCACTAAAGGTTTCCAACAAGAAAACACCACGAGTTACCAAGTTCTAAAGAATAGAGAGGTCAAAAGTATAACATCCAATTGGCTAACTCACCTAGGTGAGCAACCCCACAAAGCACTCCCCATTGGCACCGTCTCATTCCCCCTTTAACCCCGCATGCTCCACATTAGCTTAGGAACTACCAGGTCCCCCCGTCGCGTTCGTGCCTCGGCATCCCGAATATCTCTCCCGGTTGTTTCGTAGATTTCCCGCCATTCTCTTTCATCGTCATCGATCTTTCGAACCCTCAACACTTCATCCACCGCCGAATCTGATCTCATCTCATCTCAGCTGAGTCTAGTACTGCTTACTCGAGCACAACAGAAACTCACTCTTTTCTCATCGCATTCTCACTTCATCTCACTTCATCTTCCCCCCATTGCTCTAGTCTTAATACCTAGAACCGAAAACAATGGCTTCGTCCGACGAAGAAAATAAGATTGTGCTATACCACTACTCCGCCTCGCCGTACGCGAAGCGGATCGTGTGGTACCTAGCTCTCAGAGACATCCCCTATGTTCAGTGTGTAAGTCGACATTTCTACAATTCTCACGACTTTCATCTTCACCACGATTTGTTGCTTCGTGGTACCTACCTTACTCCCTGTTTACCTACAAAAAACTAATAAACCGCTCCAGATGCAACCGCCAGTCCTCCCCCGCCCAGACGTTGCAAAACTAGGCCTCAACTACCGCCGCATCCCCATCCTCGCCATCGGCCGCGACGTCTACCTCGACACGCGCCTCATGCTCCGTAAGCTCGAGCAACTCTACCCTTCACGGGGACCCCGTCTCGGCGCCACCACCCCAGAACACGCAGCCGTAGAGCGCCTCCTCGAAGCCCTCATCATCGACTCCGTCTTCTCCAACGCAATTAACGTCCTGCCCACGAACCTACCCATGCTCAAGGACCCCAAACGCACCTGGTTCAAGGACCGCGAGGACTTTGTCGGCGGCAAGCTCTCCGCCGAGACGATAGAGCGCGGGCGGCCCAACGCCGTCAACGAGATCCGCCGCACCGTGCAACTTCTCGAGACGACGCTGCTCGCCGACGGACGGGACTGGGTCTCCGGCACGAAGGGCCCCTCGCTGGCCGATATCGAGGCCGTGTGGCTGCCGCACTGGTTAGCCTCCCTCCCCGGCGCTCTACCGGCCGACCAAATCTCCAAAGCGCAGTTCCCCAAAGTCTTTGCCTGGATCGAGCGCTTCCAAAACACGACCTCGCAAGCCCGGAAAGCAGCCGGCAAGGTTGCGACGGTATCGGGCGACGAGGCGGCGGACGTAATCGCCTCGTCACCGTACAACGAATCAACTAAGGGAGGAGGGGTCGACGCCAAAGACTTGCTGGTGATCGCGCAGGGTCTCAAGGCGGGCGACGAGGTCATTGTCTGGCCGGCCGACACGGGTGCCTCGCACAAGGACACAGGGAAGCTGGTCAGCCTCGACGGGGAGGAGGTCGTGTTCGAGGTCAACGGGCCCAGGGGTACCTCCGTGAGGGTTCACGCGCCGAGGCATGGGTTCCGGGTGGAGAAGCTGGAGAGGTATAACGCGCGCACCGGTGCGGCCGCGAAGCTGTGATTTCTTTCTTTTTTTTTTCTGCCCTTTTTGGCGGGAACTACGACCACAGCCCAAGTGGTTTCGCAACTTTCGTCATTCATCTCGGGTGCCGTTGTCGGAAAAGGCAGTATTGCACGGATCTGTTCCTCCGGCCGAGTACCTGCTCCATTCTAGAGTGTCTTTACAACCGGAGCGAGCAACGGGTTTGAATTCAGAAAAGCGTGCTATCGGGCTCGGCGTGACACCATGCGGCGCAGGTGGGAAAATGTGAAACAAACGCCCGCGCTACATCACTGATAAAATACCCATCGAGAACCTGGAGCTTCATCAGACCTTTGTGACGGAGGGAGGAATGTGATCAACATGCAGCTCCGAAACATATGAAGGCGCGGCTAGCGACAAGCTGAGATGTTCTACAATTAAACATGCTGAGATAAGCCACGAATGATGGCTGTCCATACGACTTTCCCATCGTCCCGACGCACCGAGAAACTGTTTTCGGCTTCGAGCTGTCGAACCGCATGTTGCGTGAATACACAGGCCGGAAAGGGCAAGCTGAGTTTCACCCCAGCATGCACCGGCTCCCACAACTGAGGTTACCGAATGTTTGTTGTCAATCCTCATCTAATGCAGATGGGGTATTTCGCAACGGCTCAAGATCGAGTGGCCATCTCGATAGCTAAAGATGAGCTCCAAGCTAGGCTTGGCGGAAGGATGAAGTCTGCTACTAACCGCGGGACGTAGGCTTCCACGTCCGGCTCCTGCGCATGCCGATATAGATGCTGATGCAATATCCGACATTCTTTGGACGCAAGAGCCTATCATAGAGGATCGAACATCTGCCGGTACGGCTCTTCATTCAGCATCCCATCCATCCCACGACCATGCTCGATCCAGTCGGAGGAGGGAATATGTGTGCTTGTGGTGTTTGCGGAACGTCAAGCGAAGAAGATATGGGCGCGTAGTGCAACGAACGATATCCAAATGTTGATATTCAGTTTTCGGAAAGCTACTTTGTCGATCCGGCTAAGAGGCGCACAACCCGCCAGCTGAGTCTGTGTAGAAAGTTTCCATTATGGACAAGCGCGCTTGCGCGTCGACGATTCCGAGCCCTCAGATCATCGGACGAGATCCTCCGCCCGCCAGGGACCCGGAGGGCGAGTTGAGGCTTACAGAAGGCACTTGTGGCGCTGACCCGGTGGAATGGAGCAGCGGACGCCGCCGGACGGAGAACATTGGGCCTAGACGGCACGATAGGTAGGCCTAAGCTGACCCTGCTACGGTCAAGCGTGTTGTCTTTCGTCCGAGGCACGACGTGGGTTTGTGGTTCTGGACCCGAATTCCCCATGCGACGTTGTGGTCGTTCGCACTTCGCTAGACGGAAATCGAGCATGGAGCAGCAAGATCGATATAGCGATTGATGCCGAGCCTGGTTTTAGACTAGGCGCCACCAAACGTGCCGTCTCAAACGTGCTTTAGACGGGTTTCTGCCGTCATCGCTCCGTCAATATATTCTGGGGAAGGCTTTAGATCTGGTTGTTCCAGCATGAGCTCCGTCGAGATACCATGGGCCAAGTTGGGTAGTATAATGCTCAAAGGGGTCGAGTGGACAGGCCCCGTGTACAGTGTGACGCGACGCGCTCGCGGAAGTGCAAAGTTTGAGCACAGTGCGATATGAAGATGGTGCGAAGAGGAGTAAAGGCATGCAGGTTGCAAGGATGTTCTCCGGGTCTAGTGCGTCATACGACGGTAGCCGACGGGACAAGTCAGTCTGCTCCGGGGATACGTACCGTTTACTGACCTGAGATCACCCGTTCGCTGGTCGGTTGCTTCCATTCTCTCTCTTTCTCTCTCCCCAGGGCGTCCAGAGCAAGAACGCTACACCACCCCCTATCCAAGCAAACCACGCGCGAAGAAGACGGGAGCAAGCGGTCTTCGTGGAGCAATCTAGTGGGTCGCCGGAAATCAGAGAAATTTTTTGGAGATTCCGTCATTGTCGCAAATTACGGACCCTTCTTAGGTACCAGAATCGCAGCTTGTCAATGAGGACAGTTCTTGACACAAACTCCTCGTGCGGATGACTATAAGCAAGTCAAGAGACCGTTTCAATTTTGTGTTGTTCACTGTCAGAACCTCGTGCAGCCGTAGCAAGGTACCACACCTTTGACAATCGCATCGCCGACCGTGCCGGGGCGATGAAGGATGGGAAGCGCTGTTGGGCTCGTTTGCTTGGCTTTGTTGGCTCAGATTTTCTATTCGTCAGCATCTTACTCGACATGGTTACGTCATGACCAGTGACGCCACCAATGCGATACAGAAACTGAAAAGTATCGAGACAGTGCGGATCTAATTGCAGTGTGGGCATTGGCCAAAGCTGTGACCATAGAGCGCATTTGGTGCAGTTTTCGAGAACTTTGCCAATCTTCCGTCTCAAGCTAAAAACAGGTCGACCACATGAATACGGCCGTGACGTAATGTATGGAAGCAGACAGACTCGCTTGTCAGAACGGAGAGGTATCAACTAGTTTATTAGCGAAAAAGTAGCAAAATCCTTGCCGTTGGCGGATTGTGAAAACTGGGAGGATTAGGAAACGGGGTGAGCATTCCCAAGTGGTCTTCTCCGTGTCTGGTCACCCGAAGCCTGCAGGGTATCGCTACGGAGTAAGGTCAACGTGCCCCGTCTGGCGCGATTGTTGTGACGCAATTTGTTGTACGGATACTCTGCAGTTGAGTGAGAGAGAGCGGGGACTAGCTGCCGGGGCCTCCCTGGCCAAGCTGCAGCTCTTGGGGAGACTCTATTGGGTATTGAAGACAGTAATTTGCCACTTCGGGTTTCCCAGTCGCGTCAGAAATTGACCGTCGATGTTGCCAGTCCTGCGGCTCCTGCCTCATTCTCAGCGGTAGATTTGGGCCAGGACCTTCAGGTAGCTGCAGCTTAAAAATCCA